CCCCATGAATCACTAAAGAACTCCCGGGAGCCCCAGTCCAAGGGGGCCTCTCATGCACTCCAGGGTGCTGCAGGGTTCCCAGCGGGCCTGCTACCTCGGCGGGGGCCAGAACACCAAAGGCGTCCAAGCCCGCGAGCGAGGCGGCCGAGAAGCCGCGGCTGTGCATCTCCCCAGGTGCGGCTGAGACCACCTGCACACCCCGCCGTGGCCCACCTGGGGGACATCTTGCTTCCAAATCTCAGAAATAGTAGTTTTGTGTGGCGACTGATGGACTTGGCAACTAACCTTATTGTGGTCACTACTTCGCAATATATACGCGTATTAAGTCACACCGTACACCTTAAGCTCACACAGTGCTATATGCCGATTAGTTCTCGATAAAGCTGGGGCAGAAATCAATAAATCTCCAACGGGAGCAAGTCTGGGGGTACCTGGCAGTGTGCCGGGAGGTCTTCAAAACCACAGGGTCATCCCAGAGCAGTGATTTTATCTAAACGTAGGCAGTAAGACATTTTTATACTAAAATGCGTATTATTCTTTTGTGAAGATAAAGCAACATTTGTATAAACAATTGTGACAAAATACATGATTCACACTTCAAAAAAAGGTCCAGCTTCCCCGCTGGAGGCTGCACAGGACACTGGGCGGTGGCCCCCCTTCTGTGAGCAGAGAGCGGGAAGTCCAGCCTCGAGGGAAGGCATGTCCATGTAGGAATCAGCCTGTCCCTCGGGGTGCTGAGGATCCTCCCGGACTGGGGGTTGGATAGGGTGGGTGCTCCCTGGGCACCAGAGGAAGGGGTGGGAGGCAGCAGCCTCGCAGGTACGCAGGGTTTGCAAAAGCAGAGAGGTCTTCCCAAAAGAGAGGGATTAAGTCCCTAAAGAATCCTTCACTGGAGGGGCACAACCAAGGCCCCCGGGCCAAAGCTTCCAGGAACTGGCTCTAGGGCAGTTATCTGGGGGGAAAAGCTCCATACACAATAAAGTTCCTCACTGCCTGTAATAGCAAAAACCCTCAGAAAACACCCAAATGCCCCCAGGCAAGCGCCTGACAATGCCACTTAGAACGCATCGACCCTGTGGACTAGCACAAAGTTAAGAACGTAGAAGTCTACTTACTGATCTGGAAAGACCCAGTATATAAGCTGAAAATAAGCAAATTATGGAATGGTGCACACAACGCAGCCCCATTTGGGGTTACGAGAAACGTACATCCAGAGCGTATTCCTTCAGGGAGAAAGGCCTTTTCACTGTGTTTTCAGATTTTCTGTTACCAGTCGTGTATTATTCAAGTTACGATTAAAGATGTTCCTAACAGGGTATTTCCAGCACAAGGCAGAACTATTCTGGTAGAACTTCATCTTTCTCAGACGTGCGAAGTCTTGAAAACAGAGAGCAAAACCCGAAAACTCCGTGGGAGAGGAGGGGACCAAGAGAGGACGCGGAGAGAAGAGCCAGCGCAAGAGGCATGTGCGCTCTGCGTGCAGTCCGCGGGTCACCCCAGCACGAGGCTGCTCCAAACCCTGCGGACAGGGGAGCAGCAGGGCCAGGACGGGCCGGCCAAAAGCTCCTTCTGTCTCAGGGCGCTCAGCACTGTGCAGCAACTTGCCTTTGCCCCTAATCAACACCAGGTTTAAGAGACAAAGAAAAGCCAGGCCAGTCCCAGCACGGGGCTTTGTGCTGGCCGGCCCCCCCTTCCAGCAGCCTTGTGGTAGGGCAACAGCGCCCCGCCGGGCCCACGGCAGGAAGGACGGACGGACGCCCGCGCCCTGGAACCGAGTCTGCTCCAGAAAGCCAGGCCCAGATGGGCGCTTGCTGGCGGGGGCTGGGCGCTCAGCTGGGGCAGCGGGGTGCCGCATCTGCAGGGCAACTGAGGGCCCTGGGGGGGGCGGAGAAATATGCATGCAATGCCCACGTCTCCTGCGAAAACCACAATGCTCCCCACTCCCCACTAAAGCCAGGGTGGGCAGCCTGTTCAAGAGTCAACAGGCCCAGGGCGCCTGGGCGGCTCAGTTGGTTGAGCAACTGCCTTCGGCTCAGGTCATGATCCTGGAGTCCCAGGATCGAGTCCTGCATCGGGCTCCCTGCTCGGCGGGGAGTCTGCTTCTCCCTCTGACCCTCCCCCCTCTCATTTGCTCTCTCTCTCTCTCAAATAAATAAATAAAATCTTAAAGAAAAAAAAAAAAAAGAGTCAACAGGCCCATCTGGGTGCCCCAGGAGAGGACACGGGTGGAGGGGCTGCCACCTGCAAGGCTCCGCCAAGTCCCTGCTCAACTGTCCTCAACGTACCCATCTGTGAAAGGGGGATAATCCCAGTGCTCTGCCCACCTCCCACACTGCAGAATGACTGGAATCAAAGGGCAGTCAGGGTGACGCCGCCGAGTCGTGACCTGCCATTTGGGGCTGCATGAATTTGCAGGAGCGACCTGTCCCCAAACTTCAGCTTCCACACACCCCCCACCCACACACACCATGAGCCTGATACCACTGCGGCTCCTAGAGCACCATTTTCCACACCAAACCCACACAGGTCCCGAGAGCCATGTGGTGTGTCATGACCTCTTAAAAAAAAAAAAAAGCAGAGACAGAAATGTCTCGTCCCAGGAATGGGAATCGGTTCCTGGCATTTAATAAGCTCTCAGAAACCTCAGGTGTTATTCTCCCCGATGAGGGCAGTAGTACTGACTAATGTCACACCAGCCCTTACAGGGGAAACCAGCAGAAGGTTTTAAGCCTCTGGGGTCCCTTTTATTTTATTTTAATTTTTTTTAAACATTTTATTTATTTATTTGACAGAGAGAAACACAGCGAGAGAGGGAACACAAGCAGGGGGAGTGGGAGAGGGAGAAGCAGGCCTCCCGCGGAGCAGGGAGCCCGATGCGGGGCTCCATCCCAGGACCCTGGGATCATGACCTGAGCCGAAGGCAGACGCTTAACGACTGAGCCCCTCTGGGGTCCCTTTTAGGTGCTATGTTTTCCCGGGACTGGCGACAGTGCTGGGGGGCAGGTGGTCCCAGACGGCTGACACATCCCTCGACAATCTGCTACCGGAATAAGTAGGAAATTCAAGGCGGCCCTTGCCAACCCCAAAGAGCATTTTCCTACCCAAAAAAGGAGCCGCTTTGCTAAGCATGACCCTCAGCCAAAGGCTGGCGCAAACCACTGAAGTCCTTCTCGGTCTGGCTTTACGTGTGGTTACTCAGAACAACAGAGAGCGTGAGTTCAAACACAGCCTCCTCCCAACCAAAATAAAGCCCAAGAAGGGCCTGCAGGCCGTGTAAGGCCGATAAGAAGAGGCTACCACAGAGGTCTCCCCACACAACCTCGCTGCCTCACCCCCAGGGCTGCTGACCCCCCGTCCAGGTCAGGGCGGCTGCAGAGGGCGGGGGGACCTGACTCGGGGCATCAGGGTGCTGCATGACTTCCGGCTCTGGGCCCGGGTGTCCTGCAGCGCCGGATCTTCCCTGAGTGTGAATCCTTGTCCTCTCTAGGCTGGTCATAGGGCAGCCCTGCAGCCATACCTCCTCCTGCGTGTCCCCAGCCTCACATGCCCCCCGACTCCCCCAGGATAGGAAAGCTGGTGGATGGTGGGCAGAGCTTCGGGACTGTGATTTTCACGTCCTTTACACTGAACTTGCCCCTCCCTGATTTCTGGAGACGGGCCTCTCTCGTCTGTTGACTGCACTTCGATCTCTCATCAGGGCAGAGGGACTGTCACCCCAGGTCTGCGATCTGATTCGGCGGAGGAGGTGGGGCAGCAAGCTGCGGCCATGAGAAGAGTGAGCGCTAGCATTCATGGTAACTCAATCTCCACAAGAGCCCTACAAAGCGATGCTACCATGACCCTATTCACTGCAGAAAACTGAAGACAAGGGGTAAATTGCCAGGGACATACTGCTGGTAAATGGCAGAGCCAGGATCAAGGCCAAGCAGTGTCCAGGACCCTGAGCTAGACTGGAATCCCAGGACTATTATTTACCAGCTGCCTGACCTCGGGCAGGGCACTCGGCCTCTGCAGGCTTCAGTTTCTTTAATCTGTAGAATGGGATAATAGCATCTCCTTGCAGGCAGGGTGTCAAGGAGACCGAGTACATGAAGTGCAGAGTACCAAGCTCAGCGTGTAGGAGGTGCTCAGAAACACTGGTTCCCACCTTGTTCTTGCACGTTTGGGCCCAGAAGTGGTAAGGGCCATGGGGTGGCTGAGTCTGTCTGTCTGGGAGGTCCCGCCCCAACACCTCAGCTTGTGCCCACTGGACGGGCCTTGGGAGCAGATGTCTCTCTGGTCTCATGCTGCCCCAGCACAGGGTGGTCGTCCAGTGGGAGCTTGGGAGCAGCGCACTGACTAGGGAAGGCAGTCAGGGGATTAGGAAAGGGGAAGGCGGCAGATGACAGCACCAGGACACCGAGGGACCGCTGAGACCATACCTGGCTTACCTCTACTTCCCCACTGTACCTGTGTGCACACACCTGTGTGCATGTATGTGCATGTAAAGGGAACTCAGCTGAGTGGCCAGGGGGCCTGCGGCTCACTCTACCTTCTTCATCACACACAGCGGGCACCTTCCAGGTTATCAGTCCCTTCCACTCATGTGATCCGTGGGCCTTACAACTGCCTTGTCGGAAGGCAGGGCCCAGGTCAACAGCCCTGCTTTAAGAACAGTGACACGGGCCTAGGGGGCTTCGATCACGGGCCACAAGCCCCAGGCCATCAGTGATGAGCTGCGTGGAGAGCCCAGGGCTCCTGGGCTGCTGAGCTGTCAGGGGTGGGCAGCCCTGCCAGGACTCCGTACAGAACTGGGGACCAGGGGCCTGCCCTGTGGCCAGGGAGGAGAAGGTAACATCTGAGCCCCGCCCGAGCACACCAGGCCACAGGGAGTGATGACCCAGGGAAACAGGTTTTCTCAGATGCCCGGGACGGAGGGAGGGACGGAGGGAGAGAGGAGCCCTCACCAGAGAGCCTGGAGCAGGCCAGAAGGAGGCCCTATCCAGGACATGGAGACCTACCGCATGATGCCCAGAGGGTCCAGTGCTTCCTCCTCTTCCTCCTCGGAGGAGTTTCTTGCGTCCTCGCCCTTCTGGCCTGGGATGGGCAGACCCTCAGCCTCCGCTCGGTCCTGTTGCTCGAAGAAGTCGAAAGCCCCCCCATCATCCTGGGCCTGGTTGTGTGCATCCAGGACAGAGACATCTCTGCTGGTGAGGTCCGCAGCCCCTGGGGATCTGGTGCCTGTCGAAGGAGATGGAGGAGGGCCCCTGACGTCCACAACCAGGGGACGAGGCAGCGCTGCCGTGCACCCAAGCTCCTGTGCTGGGACCTGAGCTGGGGGCCTCCCGCAGCATCCTGGGACAGGGTGCCGGGTCTGGGTGCACAGGGGGCAGCCGGGGCTCCAAGCCTCGAGCCTGTAGTGAAGCCTGGAGTGGAGTGGTTATAGGTGCGAGCCTTGGAACCAGTTGGTAGCAGGGCAATAGCCAAGCCTACGTCCACTGGCTAAGGGCAAAAAAGCCGGCCAGCTTACATCTGTGGGGCATATCAGGGAGCTCTGGCAATCCAGCCACGGATGAAGGCTGGCTCCAAGGGTCTGGGCGCTTAGACTATGAACCCAATGGGTGCACAGTGAGCTCATGGAAGATTCCAGAATGAACTGTAATGGCTCCATTACAAAGTGGCTTACATCAGCACTTCTCAAAGCATGGTCCCCAGATGGATATCCATGATGCGGTAAGCGCAGAAAGGGAGAGCAAGCATCTGGAAACATCCATAGCAGCTTGGCATTGTCACGACATCCAGACATGTGATTTCGTATTTGTGAAAGTATCTGTCCGTGACAGATTGGGAATACGAATCTAGTCCTTCCCCACAGATGGATTGAGAAATGTGGGTTTAGACTACTTGTTCACCTCTATCCAGATAGTTACTGGGTAGAAGATCTTTGAAAGCAGTTCCTATTAAAAAAAAAAAAAATACCACCCTTAGATAAGGGACCTATAGTATGCCTGGGAACAAGATATTAACACATACGTCAAAGTAATATGTGTTACTGCGTTACATAAATCTAGGCAGTAATCATACATTGCCTTATACTATGCTTTGTTATTAGGACAAATGTGAAAATACCACTCAAAATTTCAATTCCGTGTAACAGGCATTGTGTAAAAAGCATTTCACAGGTATGGACTCATTGAACTATTGTAAAAATCCACGTGAGAGATCCTGTTCATGCCTCTACTTTACAGATAAGGAAACGGAGGCACAGAAAGCCTAAGAGAGTCAAACCACTGTATCTTGCTTCTCTGTTACAGAGGGGCCGGGAGATCTGGAGTTTCTTCCAGTTATGGATCAGCGGGAGCCCCCATATCACAGGCAACACAGCCCACTGGGGGGCAAGCAGGTTGTGATCTTGTAGCAAACAACTCGGGGCCCACAGGTGCAGGGGAGGGGCTGGAAAAGGAGACAAGTAGCTGGGGCTCTGCCCCGGCCTCTGTGCATTCACTGGCTTTGCTTTTTTTCTTCCTCACCCCTTTAAAAAATTTTTTGGCTTATTTGCTGTTGTCTTCTGAAAAACTCTGTCTTGTGACGCTTAGAGACGGCAGTCATTGGGAAGAAAAGTTAAACAGAGTGGTCCAAAGAAGGGAGAAAGTCAGGGGGGAGAGCCCAGCACCTCCCGAGGAGACCCCTCCCCGCCCAGGGGCACATAAGCACTTCATCTGCCTTGGGGCCTCTGTGCAGGCCTGGACACTGGGGTGTGCGGAGCGGGGGGTGCATGTCAGCCGTCCTTCTAGAGGGCGGGCTCCATCGAACGCGCCTCACACGCAGGGGCTCGCGGAATGCTCACGCCACCTGGCAGCCAGGCATCCTCCCGTCTGACAGCTGAGGAAACCGGAAAGGGGGAGGAGGTGGCTATGGACACGACCTGCAGGGTTTGAGGTCCCCAGTACTGGACCAGTGCGGGCTGAGCCTCCGCCTGCTGCCAGAGCCATTAATGTCGCTGGTGGGCGCAAGCCGAGGGGGGTGTCCCCGGGGGCCCGGTCCGCAGGCCTGGCTGGCAGGAGGCAACGTGGGGGGTGGGTGCGTATGGGTTGGGGTGCTCTGGGGGTGGCCAGGAGGGGCACGGGTGGGGTCAGACCACAGAGAAGGCCCCGTGTGAGCCCTGTCCGGCACCCAGGCAGGCAGCGTCCTCCTGCTGGCAGCGGTGGGCCCGCTCTGGCCCAGCCAGGGGAGTGAGGCCTGGTTCTGGGCCAACAGAGGCCTCAGAGGTTAGGGACAGAGCCTCAGGTACCTAAGAATTCTAGCAGCTCTGGGCTTCCTGCCAACTCGGCGTCCTTCGAGACACAGCGCAGAATCTCATTGAACACGGCTCTTCTTTCCCGGATGTCGGACTCCCCAACGAACAGGACCTTCTTGGGGAGCGGGGGAAGGCTGGACGTGGGGTAACGACTGCTCAGTTTCTGGTAGAACTCCTCGATCTCACTGTACTTTTTGGAGACCTGGAATGAGAGGAGCATGAGGCTTCCCGAATATTCTCCCCCTCACCCCGCCCAGACAGCGCAGAGGCCGGCCTGTTTGGAGAGACGGTCCCCAGGACAGCTGCCCCAGGACAGACAGGTGCCTTGGGCATGCCTCATTCCCTCTGACCCTCCACCCATCCCCCTGCCTGGGGCTCCATTCCCAACACCCCCTAATCTGTGCTAGGCTAAATTATGAAAGTCTTAGTAGCCAAAGGGGAGATATAATCATGGTGGATTCCATGCCCTGTCACAGGTCCAGGTAGAGACCTGTGACACAGGGACCCCGGCCTGGCCCACAGGTGACCATGCCTGCTTCCATTCCGGGCCTGCAGCACATTAGTGGGGGGACCTCATGGTCTGGCCAGCTGTTAGGTCATCTTCCTACAACAACAGGAATCACCTCTTCTCAGCACGGATCTCTGGATCATTCTCCCCTGCAGGAGCATCAGTCTTCTGGTGGGGACGGTCCTTACAGTGCTCACGTGGAGAAGAACCACATATGGCAAGGTTGTTTTCGGTGCTACTGTCAGCCAGGACTCCCCCCACCCCACCCCCGCTCCCCGCACCCTGGGACCTCAGGGAAGCAGGCAGGAAGGGCGTCTCAGGCCATCTGAGTCACCCTGAGACAGCACCCTGTCTCCGGCTGAGTCCGCTCCATGTGAGGCCACCCCAGCATGGTCTCTGCCCCACACCGGCCAGGCCTCACGTGGCGTGAGCAGCCTGAAGCGTGGCAGGGTCGAGGCATCGCTGCGGATGTAACCCAAGGTGGGCTCTCAGCTCCCAGCCACACACCCCACCAGCCACCTAGCATCCTCCCTTGTCTTGGACTCTGTGCTCTCCCCTTGTGCGAGACCTGTCTCCCCAGCTCCTCTGAGGGAGCACGGAGCATACAAACAAGGATAGTCCCACTCCTACTCCCAGGCCAATGCTGGAAATGCCTGTGGCTGATGGACGAGACCCGGGAACCCTGGGGCACGGTGGTGTCAGAGCATGCACCCTGGCCAACTAGAACTCTCCCCAGAACCCCCAGCCTGTGAGGGGTTCAGATGCTGGCAGGTGGCTGGGTGGAATTTAGATCCCCAGCACCCCCACCCCCCACACACTGGGGAGTCACCTGGGACAGGGGACTGTAGCCTGCAGTTGTCAACACAAGAGCCTGGCTCTGGAGCTTTCCTGAGAACAGCCCTCAAGGAAAGGTAAGAGGATCCCTTCACACAAGGGATGCAGGCTCCAAGCCCCGCCCCCGCCGCGGTCCTGAGAACAGGTGACTCCAGGCAGGCTCCATCAGGGAAGCTCTGACCCTGAGGGTTGAGCGCCCTCTGCTGGCCTGACAGCTCCACACTGGCCCAGCCCACGGACCCACCGGGACTGTGGTCATGGAAGCTTCGAGTTTCCAGAGCACTGACCATGCGAGGGGCCAGGAAGTTTTAAGTCAGAGGTGTCACCCCATCCAGGACCCACATTCATCAGTGTTCCAAAGCCAGGGCTTTTCAAGTAGCTACCTGAACAGTGGCAAGAGGCTGAGAGGGGCAGGGAGTGCAGAGGATGGGAGCTCCCGTGCGTCTGGCACGTCCACGTGCAGGGCAGACGGCAGCAGCACACGGGGAGTCCGCTAATCGGCAGGCATACCCAGTGCCCCTTTCTGGGACTGGTTTTACTTTCTGATTAGCAATTAAATTCATTTTTATGTTAAAGCATGTGTATCCTTTTCAGGAATAGAATGCAAAATGTTTTTTTTTTTTAAAGCTAAATCATGAAACTTCAGAGATTTTCTGGCTTTGGGTTACATCCCCAGATTTCATGGGGGGTGGTGGTGGTGGTAAATGCATTCTCCTCTGCCCTCACAGGTGGTTCAAAATGTCTGAGAAGCACTGCAGGAACGGCCACCCAGGCCATGCACACGCACCCTTCAGGGCGTGGGTGTTACTGGTCAGAAGAAAGCGGCACTGGTGTGATGCATGGAGGGGTCAAGCTGTCGTCACACGTGAGGCTGGCCGTTGGCACAGCACGAACAGGCTTGCCTGGATGCTCCTCGGGGCTCCCCGAATGCTGCCTCTCTGTTATGCCCGGACACGTGACCTCAGATATGCTCTTCTGTTCCCGTCCCCGAAAACGGGTGTGTGTGGAGCTCCACAGGGGGTCGGGCCAGATTGTCAGGAGCTGCAAACCCCCACCACTCGGGGCCAAGCAGAACCAGAACCACCACCTAACATTAGACCTTGATTCTCACCCAAAGTCAAAGTAGCACATGAAAGACATGTCCTTTAGATGCTTCCCATGTGTTAAATCTCCCTCAAAGAAAGACCCATGCCATGCATTTTTATCTCTGAGAAGGTGACGTCTCTGCTCCTAGGGCACCGGAGCGGGGTCACTCACTGTTTCCCTTCCTGTCTTGGCTGCCAGGAGATTCAGAACGAACCGCGTGCAAACCTGTAGCTACTGATCCCGTCTAGACCACAGGGCTCTGGTTCATCTTACCTTTATTTCAAAGCTCTCTCTTCCCTTAGCTCCTGTGACTCCACGATGCCCCCTTCTCCTCCCTTGGCCTCAGAGGCTCCTCCCTCTCCGCGACCGTCCCTGGGCTGCTGAGTCTCTGGGGTTCCCTCCTAAGCCCTTCCCTCCGCCCTGAACGTCCATTCTCTGGGCAACCTCATCCACTCCCAGACTTTCAACATAACCTCCAAGCTGACGCCTCCCACACCTGCCTCCTAGGCCTGACAGGTCCCTGGCTCTAGCCTCATGGATTCGTCCTCCTGTGTCCATCAGACAGACACTTTATACTCTACACAGCCCCCCCGCCCCAAGACCTGCCCCTCCGCTCCTTACTTCCGCTGGTGCACATGATTGGTCAGCAGATGATATGCACGTTCCCGTGGAGATATTTTACAACCCTCTGTGTCCCCCTCACACCAACCACTGCTGGCCTGCCTCCAGCCCTCCCCTGGAGCATCACTGGCCTGGTCGCTGGGCCCCCTACCCCTGCCCGGTTCCTTCCAACCCAACTCCACTCCCCACCGGATGGGCCAGTGAGTCACTCTCCTACTTAAAACTCCTCTTTGGCTGCAAGGCAAGTCAGGCTCCCTACACGCCCTCCATGACCCGGACTCTGCCCGTTGTCTCCCGCTTCCTTCGGGATGATGCTCCACGGCATGCAGTTCCCCGCACACGACCCCCACGGCTAGCCTCCGCTTAGGCTGTGCCCTCTGCCAGGGGGCTCCTGTGCCCCAGTGCTGGCTAGAGAAGCGCCCGCTCCCTGATGCTGCTCACACCGTGGTGGCAGGTGCGTCTGTGCGCCTGGCCCCCTGCCCCCTGGGCCCCCCCAGGAACATCCTGGCAGAGCCCCCAGCTCACCAAGAACTGGACGACATCCTCGGGCCTGTGCTTAGCCGACTTGAACGCAGCCAGCCGGGTAACCACCAGGATCTGGTACTCCACGTGGCCTGACATCATCTTGCCCCGCACCTCCTGGTGCTGGGGCACGGTCAGGTCGAGGCCCGTGTGGACATTCTGCACTCGCCTGCCAAAGGGAGAGAAGGCAAAGGAAGCTCAGGTTTAAGTCAGCAGGCCTCTCGAGTGACACGCAGACAGGACCTCAGGAGGATCCTGCAGGCCTGGGTGGGGGGCACTCTGCAGGCTGTCCTTAGTGGTCACTGCTTCGGGCCACCTGCCCCGCCACACACCAGCCTCTCCTAAGGCCTGGCTTCCCAAGCCTCACGCGTGGGTCCTGCCTATGGGCTGCTCCCAGACCCCGGGCCGTCCCCAGCAGCAAAACAAGTGGGAGCAGAAGAGACGGGCTTGTGGAAAGTCACCCACAGGGAGGAGTGTTCCATACACTCGGTGCATGAGCCCCTGCAGGATTCGGAGGGATGGCATCTGGGGGCTCTATTCCCGACAAGGAACGTGCCTGGCTCCCTGCATGTAGTGCAAGAACGAGACACCGCCGGGAGCCTGGGTAGACACGCATCTCTTCAGCGAACCGGAGGGCAGCGGGGCTACAACCGAACCTGCCCAGGGCCCTGGATGCAGGGTCCTCCTTAGCCTCGGGGCCCCGCAAGGCACTGAGAAGGCTGCTGCATGAGGCTTGGAGAGGGTGCTCAGCAAAACAGCACAGCTCTCGCAGAATCTGTCAATGCTACACCAACGTACTGAGTTGTATGGGGGGCAAACAAGTCATGAAACGTTTTCCCTGAAGTGATAAAAAAAAATACGGTAACTGCATCCCCATCCTTTGTAAGGGGGTAATGCAGACCCACGTGTACAAATACACGTGGACAGGACCCCTCATCATCAAGGTCAAACCTTCTATGGGCTGGGCAGGACTCCCAGAACACAAGTAAAGGGGTGTTCCTAGGAGGAGGGTGCTTCTGGGCTAAAACTGTACCAGGGCAAGGCCCTTTCCCTCTCTGGACTAAGGTCCCAATCCCTCAAAGACACTCTGTCCCCCAGGACTCCTTCCGCGCGGATTTCTCCCACCTCCACACCAGGCATGCAACACAGTCACCATGGGGATGCCGTCTGTCACCCACCAGGGACAATGCCATACGCCCGCATGTGAAGTGTGCACCTACACGAGCATTTTCCCGGGACCCAGAGCACACCGCCACAGGCTGATGACGCGGGGAGGCCCAGGCGACACCAGATGTACCTTTGTGAGATGGAACACCACACCTAAGGTATCAGCCCTCCTTTCCTTTGCCCAGTAACCGAATGAGCGTGCTTGGCCTCGCGCCGAGCGAGCTGGGCTGCTCCTGGCTTAGCGCGCGGTGTGCACGCGTGTTCCCGTGATGAGCGCAGGAGCGCAGAGCCCACTCGAGGTGAGCCTCGCGGCGGCCAGCGCTGCTGCAGGCTCTCGGGACCTCAGCTGAGCCACTCCTGCTCCGGCAGCCCTACAGGGGACACCACCGCTGGGACCCACTTGAAGAGCGGGAAAGAGACACAAGGGAGTCACCTGCCCGGGTCTCCGCAGGTCAGAGCTACCCCAGAGCCGGGGCTGCCTCTTGCAGGGTGGAGGGAGGACTCAGGATCATTACCGCAAGGAAGCACAGGCGGGCGGAAGTGCAGAGGAGGGGGGCCTACGGCCGGGCTCACGCTCTCCCTCTCAGTACCCCGCATCTGACCACACCGGGACCCGCAGTCCACAAGCCCGCTGCCTTCCGCTGTCCCTCCTGTTCCTGTCATGCCTCCTCAGCTGGGAGGCCCTGGGGTGCCACGGCTGGAACCACGGCTTCGGGCCCCAGCTCCCCCGCCCCGTCCCGAACTCTCCAGTTCTCTGCCTCCTTTGTACCGGGGCCCAGCAGCCGCCCGGGACGGGGACAAACACTCGGACATGCCACCCGGTCCCACAGGGAATTCATGGCCACAAGCAGCAAGCTGCAGCCTGGGCCTGGCACCCCTCCCTTGCTCTAGACCTGGGCTTCTCCAAGTGTGGTCCCCGCCGCAACGGTGTCACCTGGGAAATTCAGGTCACTGAATCAGAAGCCCCGGGCCCGGCGGGGGGGCGGGGGGAGGGCGGCGGTGGACACACTATCTTCAACTGGAGGAGTTGACAACTCCTCCAGGTAACAGATGCAGCAGCCACAGCCGATACAGAAACTTTATTTATGGGCATGACATGGCTCAAGGGCGTAGGGTGGTCAGCTACGCCTTAGACCAAGCTTCTCGAACCTCACAGGCATCCGAGTCACCTGAGGAAGCTGTCAATAGGCAGATCTGGATTCAGCAGGTCGGGCCCGGGGCCTGAGAGTCTGCATTTCCAGCCAGCTCCCCCGTGATGCTGATGCTATTCTGCTGCTCCTGGGACCATCCGCTGAGCAGCAAGACATGGAGTCTAAGCCGCCTCTCTCAACAAACCCCTGATAAACCCCCAATGCCTGTTCTCCCGACAGCCCTGCTTATTTCACCAAGAAGGGCAGCAATGAGAGAAATCCCTGAGCCTCCCCCACCGCCGGGGACACACTGGTTGGCTCCTACCTGAGGCGATCTCCTACTCAAGGCTCGCTTCTGCAAGTCTTCCTTCCCCTCTTCTCTCTCTCCCTCCACCCCCCCGCACTGTCCCCCTGCTCCCAAACCCACAGTTCTTCACTGCCTCACCCGCTCCCAAACCCACAGTTCTTCACTGCCTCACCCAACACTCCCCCAGGCCCACTCCACTCCAGTCATGCTGGCCTCCTTGCTGGTGCCCAAGCACCATCCCTCCCCGCCCCCCCTCACCCCTGCCCTAGGACATTGGCTCTGCTGTCCTCTCTGCTCATACGGTCTTATTCAAGATATCCTCATGGCTCTCTCCCTCAGGGAGTCAGGATCTGCCCAACTGCCCCTCTATCAGAACGACACTCCTGGACAAAACAGCACTCACTCCTATCTCTTTTTCCCTGCCGTTGAATTTTCCTTCATACCATTTATCATCCCTGACACATTATCTGTCTACCTCCTGTCTAGCTGTCCCCACTAAAGCTCCATGAGATGGGCTTCATTCTGTTCACTGCTGTGCCCTAGAATCTGAACCAGTCCTTGGCACAGAGCAGGTCAGTAGCTGCTGGATGAACGCAGGTGTGAGTGCACGCGGTGATGAGCGGCGGGGGGCTACGCTGGGAAGCTGCGCTGGGGCCTGACTGTGAAGAGCCTGCCCGGTGACTGGTCTCGAGCGTCTGAACCCACCCTGTGGGCAGGTGCGAGTAGGAAGGAGTGAGCACCGCCCCCTGGGCCTTCATCACCAGCACCCATGCCCGTGGGCAGGCCCTGCAGGATCAGGGCAGGGAGGGAAGCCACCCACCCCCTTCCCAAGCACCCCGCACCAAAGTCACACCCCACTGCATGTGGCTGAGACAGGTGTCTGCTGCCGGCACTACTCACACCTTCCAATCTCAAACCTCCTTTTTGCAGAGAATGAAACAGGCTCAGGGAGAGGTGACTTAGGGAGCACCAGGTACACCTCTTGCGCCTATGAAGACACAGCCTGTGACCTCCCTGGGCCATGCAGGGGGCACCAAGCAGGTTCTGGGATCAGGGTTTACTTACAGAATCACATTTTTCTAGACCTGAAGTTACAGGGGCGCTCAGATTACAGCTGGAAAAAGAACAGTTGGGCTGGGAAAGACATACATTCATTTAAGCAATAAACTGGCATCTTAGACCAAGATCCTGTGTAGGGGGAACGAGAGTGGGGTCTATGAAAATACCTTAAGTGAGTCACTCTACGAAAGACTCAAAGCATGTGCATCCCATGCTTTCCAGGATCCATCTTGCACCAGGTCCCCCAGGTCTGGGTCAGTGTGAGCCCACCCGGCACCTTCTGCCTCCGAGGCCTCTAACTTGCACTTCTCCTGAGCTACCTCCTTGAGGAGCTGCCACCTCTTCTCTTGCCTTCACCTGGTTAACTCCTACTCTTCCTGAGGGACGTGGCCTCATTCGCCCACTCCTCGAAGTCGGGTTCCGCACTTGCACTGCGCTCCCAAGGAACCTGAACCTACTGCCCGCCCCCCCTTAGCTTCTGGCCCCCCCGCAGGTTTGTGTTCATTCCGTGTCCCCTGCAAGGCTGGGCCTTTTTTGATTCACCCCCATCCCCAGGGCCGCGCACTGGGCCTGGCACACGGTGAGCACTGAAAGGAGCCATAAACTGTATTTTCGGGCTCAAAAGAAATGAACGCACGTCTGCAAAGGGGACAGGAGACCCCCTCTCCGCCCGCCTGCGGGGCCAGCCAATCCCGGCCTTCCACTGGGTCCGGGGCGAGTTCGTTACCCTTTTAAGGGCCTCAGTTCTCCCCATCTGTAAAACGGGGACACTCAATGCGCCCACCTCTCCTGCAGGGCGGTGGAGGGGCCGACCCCAGACAACCCGCCGGGGCGCTGGCAAGGCCGCGCCGCGGGCCCACGGGGCCAGCCGCCTCCGCCTGGTCCTCGGACGGGGGCGCATCCGGCTCGTTCGCGCGCACCCGAGACGCGGCGCCAGGCACGGGGGTCTGGCTCACCTGGAGGTGACGAACACCGCCGGGGACTGCATG